AGGGGGCATGGGTTTGATACCTGGTCAGGGAACTAAGATCCTGCATGCTGCAGGGTGCGGCCAAGAAAAAAAAAAAAAGTGGATGAGATATTCACTAACACCATCCCTTATCTTATAATAACTTGAAAACAATACTCATTTAAAAAAATCCTTCAATATTACTTCCAAACATATCCACATTTTCAGTAAATGTATAGTTTAAGGATTCAGATGAGCTGCTGGGTAAATGCAAGTACAGAAGATGGGTGCCTTTTTTCCTTCACAGTTTCCCATGACTCACTGTGTGTGTGTGTGTGTGTGTGTGTGTGTGTGTGCGCGCGCGCGCGCGCGTGCGTGTGCATGTGCATGTGTTTAAGAAGCCAAAGAATAGATATTCTAGAATGTCACTACTTAATAAATATCTATCTATATTCCACAACTTACCACATTGTGCTTCCTCCATTTTTGGATGAAAAAGACTGACATATACTATAAAGTGGAAACTTCTTCCATTATCTGGCAAGATGTTTTTCTCCTCTCAGTATTTCCAACCACCTAGTCAGGAATAGCATTTGACAATTCATCAATACAGTATTCAATTCAAATTCTAAAAAATGAATTGAGAACGTTTCACTGGAACAATAATAAACTGATGAGAATTGACAGAAAATGCAATTTTTTCTTTTTTTTTTTTCTAGAAATGATTTTGGTTTACATAAGGAACAGTAATTCACAAAGGTGGACTGTGGCATAAAAGGGAAAATTTCGGAAGTGGGTAGCCTTCCAAGTACGTCACAAAATTCAAAGAAAACTAGAGTTCACTGAAAAGAGTGTCTCCCATTTCGTGCACTGGTATCTAAAGATTATCTAAAGATTATGTTCAGTGTTTATGCTTTTTCTATTAAAATGCAAGCACCTCCTGGGACTGCATGCCCACTATCAGCTAACATCATGACAATGTTTGCTAAGTAAGGACTTGTGCTAATGGACCAAAGAAAATGTTCTGAGGAATGTGGGTAGTTAAGTGGACAACAAGGAAAGGATGATAATTGCTATGGAGAAAATGTAGGACACTTAGAAACAAACCATATATTTTATAATTTCTTGGAGAAACTTTCAATATCATACTACACTAAAAGTTTTTGGCCATTAATGTATGGGATGCTGTACTGGCCCCAAACTGAAAAGAGTGGTTTGTAACACACAGTGGCTGTACAATTTTTCCTTGTTTTTCAAAGTGTAAAACATTCTGAAGGTCATCCCTTCCTCCCAGTATGATTATTTTTTATTTCACAAAAATCAGTTAATTTGAAGGAGAGTGAAGCTGTATGTCAATGAATTGGTTGCAATCTCATCAGGCAATCAGACGTGAGATCAACACAGCTGTTGGAACAGAAACAGCCAGGACGATTCTAGTTAGAGGACTGTCAGGAACACAGAGGCAAAAAGCATTGTTGTCACGTGGGGTGACACCAAAGATTTATTAATATATTCCTCCAAGAGATATTTAAAATAAGTGCTATGTTTCCAAAGATTACGACACAGTGTAATAGTAATATGGGTAGGGTTCTGGCTGTTCTTTAATGTCTTCCTTCAAAAGCAAATACTATTTTCTTTCAAAATTGGGTGTATAAAATCTACTTTTGTTACTCTGAAGCAATATATACCATATTACATACTCAGACTTTGTGTATAATATATTTATTTGCATACAGAAATATGTATTTCTATTATACATTTTATTACTCTATTTATAGAATATGTATATTAAGCATACAGCATATTCCAGGAAGATACATCAAATATGCACACAGTTCATGCTGTAGAGTGCACCCTTTTAAGAGAAGCATATTTAAGAGGCATGATATTATATATACATGCTGAACATACATTTTGCACAATTCATCCAGCTTTGGGTGCTTCCCTAATCTATTTGCAATGCCAGTGCTGCAATTGTTGAAAGGGATACTATCAAACTGGGGAAAAGGCAACTACCAGTGAACTAAGTCGGAGAAAATAAAAGTAGACTGCATTTCTAAGTATATGTTGCCATCGTTTTGAACTCCCGTCTCTCCCGATGTCAGGTGTTTAGGGTCAAAAAAGTGGTGAATGGACAAAGAGCAGGAGTATGTGGGACCTCCAGCTTTGACATTCAAACCAGAAAGCTTATCCTATGTGGCTTACTATACTGATGACTTTGTCCTACCACTTGGGAGCTGACATTAAATTAATGATGAACTGGTAAAAAGGCAATCATTTCTTTTTTCAAGAAATGAACTAGCTTTTTCACATTCTTAAATTCCTCTTCTTATAAGCCCGCTCTGGGATATTTACATTATTGCTATGAGGAAAGAAGTTCTTGACAGGTATTTACCTTTCCAGTGAAGACAAAGGAGATGAATCACATTGTTTCTGAAAGAGGCTGTTAAGGTTTCTGACAGGAAAAACAGCAGCTCCAATAGGAAGTGAACAGATCAACTGCAGCCATTTTAATAGCCAACTACTTCAACTTCAATTGACTAGACACTGTGGCAATCATAAGTGGACATTAAGATGTTGGAAACACTGTGCTATGTGCACGGTCTGGTGATTCTGGCTATATAGATGTGCCTTGTGTTCCCAGTCTGTGAATTACAAATACACCAGACTCAATGGATGACAGTGTGTCTGATACATGATTGGTGAACATTAACCTTTTTCAAACAGATGAACAATTTGCATTGATATTCGAAGAGTGAAACAGGATTGTTTTCCCACTTATATAAAGCAAGCTCTCGAATCCCTTAAAATAGGCCAGGGTTTCTCAACTTTGGCACTGCTGACATTTTGAGCCAAAAAATTCTTAGTTGTGGGGTCTATCCTGTGCATTGTAAGCTGTTTAGCAGCATCCCTGGCCCCTATATTCACTAGATGCCAACAGCCCTCCCTCAAGTTGTGACAACCAACAATGTCTCCACACATTGTTAAATGTCCCCTGGGAGGAAAAATGGTCCCTAGTTGGGAGCCACTGAAATAGACAAATCCAGCAATAGTTAATGCAAGCCTTTGGATGCAGTCTCCATATCTTTCTAATCATCTACTATTTTCAGTATTCTTTCCATTTTTCTGATTCCGGTTTACAAAGTTTCCATGATGTGTCGGTCTATATTCAATTCCTTTCTTTAATTTTTGATTGTTTCTCTTTCAGTAAGGTTGTGGTAGATACGGTGAAGATCAAGAATAGAAGGAAGAAAGGAGAGCATGTGATGGCAATGGAGAGTAACTGGCAGTTGGATTCACGATGAGCTGGATTGCTAGAGAAGGCAAAAAAGGACCCAAATCCTGAATCCTCAGTCCTTGAATCCAAAGAGTTCATCCCAACTAAAGTGATACGTTGACTTGAAGAAACAAAATAAAAATAAATATGGATCTTAAATGTAAAAGTTTACATTAAGGTAGAATAAAGATATCTGTATGAACTGATGCTGTATGTTTATAAATAGAAGATTTAGTTGGGGAAGAATGACTGAAGTTGTTGAAACAAGAAGTTATTTTTATAAAGGATAAGTTATATACAAAAATTATTGGCAATTTGCTTCTTACTAATTGTTCTTTTTTGTCGTTATTTGCCTTGTGCTTTTTTTTCAGCTCAAAAATTTTGAGATGCCATCAGTGAGGCAAGTCACACAAAATAACTCTAACTGAAGTGCTAAAGTCTAGTACTGACAAATTCATCATGCAACTCACATGGATATTACTGGTCAAGTTATCATAAAGCCCATAAATCTAAAATGCAAAATGTGAAATTTGTAAAGGGTTTTATAAATTTGATTTCTATTTGATTTCTATTGGGCCATCTTTAAAAAATCTGATTGGAAGACTATAGCAAATATAGTAAGAAAAAAAAGTTGAGGGGTAAAAATAACTAAGTGTGAGTCAATATAATTGTATAGTTATTTGGGGTACCAATAAAAAGTCTTACATAGACAAGATTTATATAAAGCCGCCGTTGGGTAATCATTTCCGATATGACTTTTCTACGGTCTAGAATTTTAAAAAATGGTGAGAAGTGGCACAGGTGCAGCCACTTATATTCTTTGAGATTTTGCTGAGCTCACTTGGCCTGTTTAGGTATCCATAACATTTCTGCCATAAAGATTACTACTTCTATTGACAGAATTTTGAAGTTAAAAAATTTTAGGGAGAACTGATGATTTGAGGGAAAAAAAAGGTGGTTTCAGTATATGTTTTTTAATTACTCTGTTTTTTTTTCCCTCCATAGGTCATAGGATGGTTATAAACCTCACTTATCTGTAAGCTGAATATCATCCTTTAGCAAGCATTGAGGAGAAGGTCTTATTCTCTTGGGACTGACCCAAACGTCATTGGTGCCACGTGAATAAGTTAATCCTATTTAAGATTCCAGATGAATAAAGCAGCATCTTCCTGCT